TGCCTAAAAATAAAAGTTTTTAAATTTTTTTCTTTTTTTTTTTTTTTAAATTTATATTTACTTCATAAGCAGCACCCAAATCTTGAAAACGTTCTTGTGCTTTTGGATCATTGTTATTCTTATCAGGATGTAATTCTTTGGCTAATTTTCTATAAGATTTTTTTATTTGATTTAATGTTGCTGTTTTTGGTAGATTTAAAATTTTATAAAAATCTCGACTAGAATATAAAATTTATATAAAAATATTTTTTTATTCCAAAAAAAAAAAAAAAAAAGAAATTACGGACCCAGCAGAAATTAATGTCACTATGAAGACTAATAATAATATAAATATATATATAGTCTTCATCTGAAATAATCATATGGAAAATAGAACACCGAATAAGAATATTTTAAATGCTGAATAGACAAATAGGAATGTGTTAATAAGCAACGAGAAACAAAAAAATAATAATATTGTGGTTAAAAAGAAATAAAACAAATAAAAAGAAAAACAAAATAATTAAAATTATAAATTATCATCTTCAATAATTGATTCTCTTGTTTCATTAGTTACCGAACGTTTTTCAAGAGCTTGTAAACGACGATCAAATTCATCCATACGACGCATTATACCTTCTAATTGAGTAACTATTATATCATATTGTGTATTTGTTAATGTATCTTCTTTTTCAGCTAATGCTGAAGGTTTCTTTGATTGAACAGAAGTTGTTTTCGACTAAACAGAAGACCATATATATATAAGTCATTTGTATTAGAAACAGAAAAACCTTTACTAAGATTTAGAATACGTGTATACCCTCTAAAGAAACTAAAATACCAAACGTACGTGTGTATTTCAACTACATAATAAAATATGAAGCAACCGATGTACATCTTACTGCATTTGAAAGAAAAAATTTAATAAGTAAATACGAGATAGAATTAAAATTCAACAACCAATATTCTATAGTGTGATAGATATTCTTCTAATACGTCGTTCATGTTCTCGGTTCAATACTTTTATAAAATCTAATTCTTCAATAAATTTATCAACATACTACAAAAATGTTATCATTTAATGTCCTGCAATTTGAGTCGGATTCTCGACAATGAATGAAATCTTGATGTTTTAAAATAAATATAATATACCTGTACTTTAGGTTGACCGTTATTAGTATTATCAATAGGAGATTTTTCTAATGATGATTTTGGACTTAAATTTTGTTTATCAAAGGCAACTTCTTGTTTTGGTGGAATGAGCTGATTATTATTATTAACATTTAATGGTGTTTTTGGACCCGAATGAAGATCACGAATGGATATCTTAAATATGATATTATAAAATAATAAAACAATTTATTTATTTTTTTTTTCTGTTTAACTTTTACCAATTTTGGATCAGCATCTACTCCATTAATCCATTCATCAGCAGTTATAGCATGTTCGTCACCAGCTGTATCTGGATAGAGATCATCTTGAAAAAGTTCAGACTAGACAAAAGAAAAAATTTATTCTATAAAAACAAAACAAAAAATCATTATCATCATTAACAATTTACTTTTCGAGGTACAGTAAAACTAATGACTTCACAAGCACCACTATTAAGTAATTTATAAAAACTAAATAAAAAAAAGAAACATTTTCTAAATCACTTAATAAATTCATATTATACCGAGCTATTTCGCATGTAGCAATATTCAATCCACGTTTTGGCATATTACCTATACCACGTTGTGGATCTGATGATAAATATGTACTAAGGTAATGAATATAAGGTGTTTCTGGTGTATATTCAAAATATCGAATCGCTGAATCACCCTGAAAATAAACAAAGAATTCAAATAAGTTAAACTTTCTCAACCTAATTTATCATAACGAAAGTTCTAACAATGAATCATGACAGTCATTTTATTTTCTTTATATATAAAATTTCAATAATTACCTTTCCACATAGAAAAATCATACCAGTATCTTCATCATAAAATGGAAATAAAATTCCATTCGATGAATCAAGTTCTACCATTGTTAAAGGAGCACTCAAATTATTCTACAAAAAAAAAAAAAAAAAAAACTATCCTTTGTTTATAATAGAAAAATCATTTCTAAATAAACCTCATCCCAAACAGCATATTGTCGTTCAGCCATTTTTGAAAAACCTGTAGAAAATATTCGTCCATCACGTAAATAAATAGCTCTTGCAGGTTTTCCACCTTGATGTCCTGCACCTGACTATAACAAAAAATAAAATAAAATAAAAAAACTAAACTTTTTTTTTTTATCTTCTTCTCATTTGAATTTTACTTGAATAATTTCACCTGTACGTGGATTAATAACACGAAACATTTTATCTTTACATGAGGTAACAATACGTGAACCATTATAATTCCATGCAACACTTAAAATAGCTTCTGTATGACAATCAACTGTTGATAATATTGCTGATTTACTAACATTCCAAATAAAAATTTTCATATCACTACCTAAAACAAACAAAAAAAAAATTTTTTTTTTTATCAGCAAACAGAAAAAAAATAACATATTTCTATTTTTACCAGAACTAAGTAATACATTAAGTGCACTTGGATGCCAAACTACTTGTACAACACGTCGTTGATGTGCAATAAGATCAACAGTTGATTCTGTTAATGTTGTTGTTATACCACCATCAGGTATTTGCCAAATTTTAACCGTACAATCATCTGAACCACTTGCAATAATATTATCATTATGTGGACACCATGCTATATCAAGTACTGCTGCTTTATGACCACTAACAAGTGGTACATTACGATCAACACGTCCAACATTTTCAAGTGGTAAAACAAGAAATGAACCACCACCAGCTGATTCCGTTATAATAGCAAGAAATTTTGGATTGACACAACAAAATGTTGAATCCGATGCATGTTTTGTTACACGAATACCTTCATAACAATCAGCTTTTTTAGATGCTTGTCCAAAGACATGACTAAAATGAATCAAAACAAAAAACAAATTTAATATTTTTATAATAGAAATTTTGCTAACCGAAATTTGCTATTACGAACAACTCGAGACATGAAGATTGATAATAATATTATATGTTGTAAAAGAACAACGCATACAACCTAAAATAATAAATATAAAATTATCATCTCGAATGTCGTTGTATATATTTCTGTTCTTCTATGCTCTCTGTGGTATCACTATGCGCAGGTGAATTTTAATGAAGATAAATAAAGATTTGTTCTTTTTTTCTTTTTACCATATAAGGATATACACTCAGCAAACTATTATCATAATATTTTTTTCAAAAAAAAAAACATATGTAACGAAAAATAATCATAGAACGTCGATAAATCACTATATGAATAACAGACAATATTTTATGGCATTCGTAGGTGAAGAATATGTATTACTAATACAGTCTTTACGTATAAGGAATAAAAAAAAAAAAGAAAAAAGAAACTTTAGTAATTTTTCTCATGTTCTATGTATGATTTAAAAGTATGTAAAACATTTGTGATCAAAAACAAAAATATACTTTTGATCACAACAAAGAAAAAAAATTGATGAGAACGCACGAAAAAAAAAAAAAAAAAGTATGAATAGATTCGACCTTGTTCGTCCTATCTCTATCTTTTTTTTTTTTTTTTATTCATTCTTACCTTAATAATTGCACTAGTTTCTGATAAGAAACAGCATTATATAAATTTTTCTTATATGACATGTTGATTGTATAGAATTTCATTTGTTTTTTGATTTATAAAATAGAAATACATTATAATTTTTGTAATTTTTTTTTATTCAAAATAAAAAATATATTTATTTGATTAATTTTAACTAGACTAATGTTCATAAAACGTTGTGCTTTTTCATTGGTTATTCAATACTCCCATCTATCAAATGTTTTTTTTATTTATTTTCAATAAAAAACAAAAAAAAAATTTCATTTGAAATAAAATGAAACAATTAAATTTAGTCTTTTTTTTTGTTTTTATAATGAAAAATTTTTTTCGAGAAAATTTCAATGGTTATTTTTGATTAACCAATAAAAATCAAATGACATAAGTTAGTTTTGTTGTTTTATTTGAAGATACTTTTTCCCTTTTTTTTGCAAAAAACAAAATGCGTTCATCAACAATTTTAATCTATTTTTTATTGTGTTATGTATGTTCAATAGTTAAAACTATAAAAGATGAAGATTTTTCTGAATTTGATGATTTTGATCAAGATGAATTTGTTATTGGTATGTGTTTTAGAAATTTATTTAAAATATGTTTCTTCTTTTCGTATTATTATTATTATTATTATTTTAGAAACTCCATCATCAACCAGTGCACCTCCTCCTTCATCATCATCGAAAACACAATCAAATAAACTAGAATCAACAAACGATGAAAATATACCTCAATCGAAATTAACCGAAACACAAGATGACGAAGTGTCCATTGATGATGATGATGATGCTATGTTTGATGAAGAAGAATTTGAAACAGTAATAATTTCAAAATTAAATTAAATTATTCATAGATATCAGAAGTTCTGAAATGATTTTCAAAATCATTCTTTTTTTTGTACATAGAATAATACTTAACTTTGATAGATTAATAGCTGTGGCTTTCACCATTCGAAAGAGGAGATAAAGACTTCTGAGACGATTTTTCTATTAATTTCTTAAGAAAACATCTTAGAAAAAGCTACAATGTATGATTCAATGCGTCGTCATTTCCTCTTTCGAACGATGGAAACTGCAGCTAAAAGTTACTCACAATCAAACACTACCCGATTACCTTTGACCACTCTGTATAGTAAACTCTTTTGCTGTATAAAATAAGCATAGAGTGTAATAAAATACACTGTTCAGAAATTGTTCAATTGTTACAAAAAATTTAGTATTGAGACTTCTATGATTTATTCTACTCGAATAAATTTATTGCATAAGCGATTGCAAAAATTGAATTGAGTTAAACTTGTACTCATGATTTGCAACTGTGGGTAACGATAGCGTATTATGACTAACAGTCTTTTATGCAGCATGGAGACTGAGAAACCCTTCGGATAATCAAAGAGTTTTTAATCGCTTCTTCCAAAGAAAAAAATCTGAATAAAACACTGACGATTAATCGAACTCCTTACGTATAGATTTTTTATTTAAAGAAATTTGTCTTTATTTTAATATATGACAAAATGATCACATTTTTCGATTTATTTAGCATCAATTAGAATTATCAATCTGACAAGGATCACTATAATTCGACAAAAAAAAAATTTACTGATTGTGTAGGCTTGGAGTATCGCATGGAAATAATTAAGTAATTAGGATAAGATTTTCGAACCAAAAACTTTCGATGACCTTTTTTTTTCAAAATATTGTCTCCCAAAAATAGAACCCATCGGGTCCAAAAATTCTTGGGCTCGGATCAGATCGATTAAAATTATTGGATTCACACCTAATTGATTGATCTTTTGTCGGTAGAGCCCATCGGATTCAAGAATTTCTGGATCCGGACCATGTCGAAACAAAATTTTCAGGCTCGGATCCAGGTAGGACCTGATGGACTTTACCCAAAAATGGCTATTTAATAAAACGACTCTTATTAATTCTTGCAGATTGGTTACACGTGTATATATGCTAATCAAAGCAGTGTTTGTAGTCTAAAGAAGAATTAATTTCGAGAAACTTTTCAAACATTTTATATGCTAATATATTGAGACATTCTTTATTAAACAAAAAAAAATATAGAAAAAAAAAAACGATTTCTTATTATATTTCAATATTAATCTTAAATTTTTTTTTAGTCTGATTTATTTTCATCATCAACTTCATCACCTGATTTTAAAATAACTGAAGTTCCAGCTAATTTAACTGGTAATCGTTGGGAAGCTTATTATTGTGAAGCAATAATGATGATTGCTCTTCTTGGTTATTTAATTCATTTTCTTATTGGTCGTACAAAAAATTCTCAACTTGCTACAATTATTTATAATTCACAACGTGATTTACTTGAAAGAAATTTTGCTCTTGTTGGTGATAATGGTCAAACAAGAAATACTCAATCATCAGATGAACAAATAAATACAATGCATAAAGAATCAGAAAATTTATATATATTATGGTGTAGTGGTCGAATATCAATGGATAGTATGCTTATTGAATTACGTTTTATAAAACGTCAATGTTTATTTAATTCATTGGCTGCATTAATTAAATCAATAAATGATACAATTGTTTATACAATTGATTATGGTAAAGATGATATGGATACATTTGTATTTTGTTTAGCAAGAAAACGTTGTGCAGCTAAACTTCATCGTGATATGAATGATCTCAGTCAATTTTGTGCCGAAAGAAAAAATGCTGATAAAAAAGGTTTAAGTAGTAATTATCAACTATTAAGTGAACTTGGTGAAGTATCAAGCGCAATAATTGATACAAGAGTAGCAGAATTTATGGACAAGTATGAAATTGAAAATTTTTCTCATAATCAAATTAATTATAACTTTACAAAATAGACACAAGGTTTTTTTTGAACCCAAAAATTCGAATCTATAGGAAATTTTTTGAAATTTTCGAGTTCGATTATTTGCATATTTTTGGTCTTTTAGAAAAAAGTGATGACCCGGGGGGGGGGCAGGGTAGCACGGAAGCTTTTCCTCTATTCCCCTTTAGGGGTAAGTCAAATGTCAAAAAAGGATAAAATCGTAGGACCGGGCGACCCGGCCTGGCCAGATCGGACTCCACCCGACAAAATATTTGGTTGGGCCGAGACGAGCCACTGGACCTGTTTCACATATACTGGAGTTATAATTCACACATGTTCTTTCACTTGTGAAAAACATATTCAACGGAAAATATGCACTCAAAAAATTTTTGTTTGTTACTTTGCTATTCTACAGGCTACTACTGTTTTTTACTTTCGAGTACTAAAGGTAGTGCCATATGTCTACTTAATTGCCAACAAAGCCTATGACATACAGTCAAGATTTTAGTAATTAGCACGCCTTGAGATAGTGAACCTATGTAGTGGTGCTAACTCGATTTCATTCAATGTTGCAGCTCTAAAGATTTATCGTGGAAAAGATTCAACATTTGTTCTTAAATACACATTATTAATGAGAAAGACAATATTTTAGTTATTTTTAACAAAATTCGAACTAGGAATAACTATGACTTGGGTCTTTCGAATGAGGAATTCGGCGAAAATATGTGTGCCAACATATGTCTGAATTATTTCTTCAGTACATATTAACCAACAGAGAGTGGATTGGTGCCTACGATCAAGGTTTATTGTCGTACGCATGCACCCAAAATATCAGCTCAATATTATAAAGAATAGTAGTGCTTCATGGAAGATGGAGGTAGCTAAGATTGCATGAAAGTTTATTCATCTAACCATCCCGATATATATTTATTATATCTATAGTCAATAGATTTGAATCTAACTTGCAGTTTAACCATTGAAAAACATAATTTTGTGTAGTGATTGAACTTAATTATTATTATTTTTTTGTTAGATTTCCTGATGCAGTTGAATATATTCACATTAGTGATCAATATACCGGTATGAAAGGTCAAAATGGTGATCAACAAACACCATCAACAAGTTCTACAAATACTGGTAGTGCAGCACAACAACAAGATGCACTTAATATAAGTGAACGTTCTGTTCGTCGTGTATTAATTATTGCATTTAATTTAATATCATATAAAGATCGATCACTTCAAGTATCATGTGAAAATTTAAGTAGTGATTATTTACGATTTGTATTATATTTAATTGATCGTGTTAGTTCATTTCGTTTAACATCAAAAGATTCAAAAATGAAAGCAATTAAAAATCGTCAACGTATTGATGAACAATTTTTAAAAAATGTTAATCAACAACGTCAAGAACAAGCACAACAACGACGTGAAGAACAACGTCGTGCTGAAAAAGAAAAAATAATGCAATCTGATGATCCTGAATTACAACGTAAATGGGAAGAAAAAGAACATAAACGTGAAATGAAACGACGACAACCAAAAATGAAACAAATGAAAATTAAAGCTATGTGAAAGAACTAAAAACAAAAAAAAGAAGAAACAAATGAACTTCCGTTATTTGTTGTTTTGTTTTTTTTTTGCTATATTTTATGATGTGTAAAACAATCATCGAACTTAAATTAACATCTTTACACTTCAAGTTTTTTTTTAGATGTCATTTTTAGCTGGTACTCATCGATTTCTTGATCCAAAATGTAATGAGATATTAGATCAATTTTATGAATGTATTGAAAAGAAAAGTCGAGCAGTAGGATCTTGTGATAGTCTATTAGCTCAATTGTATCGATGTAAAAAAGAAGATGTAAGCTTTATATTTCATATTTAAAATAAATCTATTGAATTTTTCATTTATTTCAATGTGAAATACGATCAATATCGAGTGTTGAAGTCTATAGAGTAGAGGAACAAGGAAGTTGATAACCTGTTGAAAATTGCTTTCTCGAAGAATTTGATTTCTTCAATATCAAACTATTATACAAGATGTCCGAAAGTGAGTCCTGGTAGAGTTAGTCATATAGCACTTAGTTGTTCAATGCACAGATCAATTGAAATAGTTACACGACAGGATAATCGAAAATGCGTAGAAAAGAATTTTCAAGTGGTTTCCTATTTCTTAGGAACGAGAACTCTGACATCCCTATTCTACACCTAATATTGTCCACTGAAAACCTATGTTAACGTCAGCTAGGCTACTTCTCATATGGTTCAATAGTAATTTTTGAGCACTTCAATATAATGACCTGAGAGTCTGTCCCTTTTGTAGTAACGAAGTTATAGGAATGCTCCCAAACGTCATAAATAAGTTTGACGTATCGGACTGAAATTTTTGCTAGAAGAGTTTTCCACTAGATGCACTCATTTCAGAAAATATCATCTTAAATGGATCATCCTGAGCGGGAAAATCTATTGTAGATAATTCCAATAATGATGAAGAAAATGTGTAGAATAAAACAATTTTTCTGTGATTAGTAACAGTGGCTACATCATGTTTCACATTTTTAATTCTGTAGGGATTGTGCTAAAAGTTTTTCATAATAATGTTGAGTTTATTGTATCGGATCTTTTGTTTTTAGCTTGAAACTCATCGACAATTGAACAAAACTGAAACTGAACGAAAACAACGTGAACGAATAATAGCACGTGATCCAATTATTCAAAAGAAACTTGAAATTCTTAAAAGATTACAAGAAAAACAAAAAAATGAATCAACATCTTCATCATCATAGATTTGTTTTACGTAGTAAAACTAATTCAGTGTAACTTATGAACATCCTAAACATTTAGTATAATTTTTTTTTTTTTTGTTAAAATAAATTTTCTTCAAAACTAATTTTTATATGAATATAATTCACATCAAGATGAAAAATTTCTACAATGATATATTAAATAAATCAGGAAAATTTAAAAATTACATATGATAGTAAGTGCAAGGATTTTCTCTTCATCTATACCCTACACCACTCTTATTGGATACATTTCATGTACAAATAAACCTTCTATGTAAACAATTCAGTCCAATTCTTCAGATCAATCTCTGAGTGATTCCAATCCGATCGGTAAAAATCAAAAATTGTCTACCGAGAGTTCACTGAATCAATCGAATTTTGAATGGTTCTGTGTGCCATGATGTCATATTTTGAATGATGAAAACCATAGATATCTATCTTCTTCCAAAACGACGGTTATTCGAAAAGTAGATACACAACCAATATTGTACAGATAATTGTTATATTTTATTTTAAACAAAAATTTAGAATTATGTGTTAGGCATGAATGTTCAATATCCGCTAAAGATACTCTTATTTCAGAGCTCAATTTTGAACATGGAGGAAATAGCAGAGACTTCAATATTGAAGTCTCACAGAGTCTTCTTTAAGCTATAGCTTTTGTGAAACACGATCAACAAAGAGTTTTGAAGTATATGGCAGAAATTTGAACTCCCGAGTCCTTCTCCTCTCTGTTCCCCACAGACCTCCTAGCAATGTTAGCCGTTATAATATATGAACTACTTACCAAGCTTTGAAATCGGGTCAAAAATTGCTTGTATCTACCCCCACCCGACTTCTACTCTATTAGAGTCCGGCTAGGCTCAATTCAGAATGACACTATTAAAACTATATTTCTTTTACAAAAAGGATTTCTACATGATGTAAATCCACCAATTTATCAAATTCAACTAGCATCATTTTAATTGATTAAAACCAGATTCTTTTTTACGTAGCAAGTTTTTTCTAGAAACAAAAAGGACTAAAATTCGAACCGAGCTGCTCGTTTCGAGGTCTACTACTTACTCATTGCATTTTGGGAGGATTAAGTAAAATAATACTAAAGAAATGCGTCCCAAAATTGATAGAACGAAACAATTACCTCGTGATTAGCAGCCACAACTACATCGTGTTTTATATTTTAATGTCTCAGGCGCATCGCGCTAACAGCTTTTAATATACGCTGAAATCTGCTGCTTTCTCCTTGCTACATCTACACCCTAAACTTAAAAAAAGTTAGATACTCTTATATATCTCATTAATGATTTTTTTTTTTCACACAATAAATTCTGTCTCGATTCCGCTTTGTGAACATATTTCCTCAATTGGTCAAAAAACATGTCGACAATTTAGATGTAGTCCTTTCAATCATGCGTAACTATCTAATAAAATTTTATTTGTCATAATATGTCCCTTTTTTTTTTTACTAAATATATTATTACAATCGATAAATATCAAAAAGAAACTATAGTCATAAACTAAAAAAAAAAAGAACATATTACTTATATACACAAAGAAAAAAATATTAATCGAACATGAAGATATTTCATGTTGTAGAAATAATTCAATAAAAAGCACACACACACAAACAATTAACACGTCCAAGAAGACATCAATTATCACATATAAATCTTGAGCAAAAAAATAGAAATTAGAAAACTAGTGCGTTCTTTTACGCCTGAGATAGTAATAAAAACAAATTTTGAAAAAAATTTTCATGTTAACATTCCACCTTTTGATTTAATGTCATTAGCAATTTTAAGAATTTTTCCTAGACGATCTTTTGAATGAATTTTCTTTGGTAATGATGAAGATGATAATAAACGTTTCTTTTTTGATAATGAAGATTTTAATATAATTGGTGGAAGTTTTTTCGATGTATCTAAATATAATAAATAAAATAAAATCGGATGAAATTGATTTAAGATTATAATATTTTTACCTTTAGTAGATTTTTTTAATTCAATTTTAATTTTTTTTGTTAATTTCTAATAAAAATAAAGAATATTAATATTTAATACAGAAAAAATTTTCTTTCTTTATTTTTACTTGATCTATATCAGATGATTTAAAATTGGATTTTTCTATCAAAAAAAAAAAAAAAGAAAAATTAATTTCATTATATCAAAAACAAAAAAATATTATATTTACTTAATGATGAAATTTTCTGTTTTAAACATTGTTTTTTTTGTTTTATTTCAATATCTTTATCAATAACAGATCTTTTAACAAATGATGTTAGACCATCATCAGTTATATTGAATAGTCTTTCATTATGATCACGACTTTCAATATTATCTGTCGGTGATTTGCCGCATATTGAAAAAATATTTTTGTCATTTGTTGATTCATTGTCATCCATTAATGATCTATACAAAAAAAAACCAATTCGAATACTAGAATTTTTCATCGCACGTATAAAATGTTGCAGGAGTATACGGATGCGGAAGTTTAAGGGGCAGATAACATGAACATACATACCCATATCCATAAATAATATATCAAAAAAAATAAATATTCAAAAGATTTGGCATCAACCATATTGCCAAAGAAATGATAAAGAATTTTTCTTTTATATAATACTGACTAGTAATGTCTGGTAATAATAGTTTTTCTCAAACACGAAAACTAAAATCGTAATAGGAATTCTGAAAGCATTATGAAAATCAAGAAAAATCGTTCCCATAAAGTATTAGGTTTTAGTCTCAATTCATGAAAAGAAAAAAATATTTGAAAAGTTAGAATGGGTGCTACTAAATTAAAAGCATAGATTTTCATGCTGGAGTAGGCTAGCTTCTTCTTCCACTTTTTACGTCGTGTGTGCAAAAGCCTTAAGAAGATCTTTCCCTCTTTCCGGGATTTCTCCGGAACGTCTCAATGAAAATTATGAAACGTTCAAGGCTGATAGCAAACTAAAAGTTGTCATAGATTCAAAATTCTCAGATGCTTCCTTCAGGAAGATATGGGGATTGCAATGGCCAGAAGTTCTTCTTTCTCCCTATCGTAAACCATGTTTTTTTTTCAATGGTATTCATTTTTTGAAGGCTACTAAATTTATTTGACCGAAGTACTCATGCAAAAAAAATTGAGTCCGATCGAACGTACCGTGTAAGAGAAAATGGTTTTTTTTCTCTAATTAAAGTGATCGAAAACTGGCAGTGTTAGAGGTCTGTGACTCATACTCTCAGCATGTTTAGAACTTATCATTAGAAGAATTTTACATACAAAGAATAAGTTTTTCTGCTAGGGATTTAATAAAAGTACGAACTAATAATGATGTGTCCTCATTTTTATATGGTATTTGACAGAGAACCCTTCTAAGCTAAAGCACAAAATTTTGATTTTTACATCTAAATGGGATCTCTTTAAACTGTTTGCCTAATTTTTGTAGTCAGCTTTGCTCAGTCACTTTCTACCAGAGAAACTTTAGAATGCTCCTACGTCTAAAATCTATCGAAAGTTTTGAATAACAAGATAAAATATTCGACTTACTGAACATGAGCATCTTGAATAAAATGTTGTCGTTCAGTTTGAAGATCTAGATAAATAATATTAAATAGAACAATAAATATAAATTTTCTTTAAGATATTTACCAAGTTTATATGAGATTCTAGATAAATTTCCATGTTTTGAATGCCTATTATCAAATTTTCATATGTATAATTATTTAATTATTAAAATATTATTTCTTACTTTTTCTTTTGTTTAATTGATGATAATATTCGTCCGATTTTTTTCTTTTGTATTGTTTGTAATAAATTTTCATTATTATTTTTCTTTCGATCTTCATTTATTGTTGATTTTATAGTTAATTTAACTTCATGACCAACTAATGCTTCTTTATTTTTACTACTGTCTGAACTAGATGATAAACGACGACATTTAACTTTAATCTTTAACAAAGAAAAAAAAAAATTTATAATAAATTATTTCAATAGAATAATAAAAAAAGATAACCTTATTTTCACCGATTTGAACAAATTCTCTTTTATTATCAAGTATAGTATATTCAATTTTATTTGAACTTGTTATAGTAGTTTTTGAAGGTAATTTAGAATAACATAATGAACCACAACGTGTCTAATATATAATAGAATAGTTTTTTTTTTTTATTAGTTTAATATTCAAAACAAGAAAAAAAAATTATACTTTAGCTTTATCAAGTTCACGTGTAAGATCACGTAAAAGTTTTTCACAATTAATACCTTTCGGTATTATATATCGATTTCGTATTTGATACTAAAATATAAATTTCTATAAATAATTATCAAATATAATAAATTTAATTCTTTACTCGTTTATCATTTGTTAACCATCGATTCATATGATAAATAATTGATTCACATGCTTGTTGTGTTATAGGATTGATTGTAGATGAATTTAAATCATTACATTCTATTTAGTATAAAACAAAAAATATAGAATATAAATAAATAATATATTTAAATTATTACCTCTTAGTTGTTCGTAGAAAATTTTAGCAGCATACCAATGGAATGTTTCAAATAATGGATATTGAAATTTTAGTGGAACTTTAGCAAGACGTTCTAATTCATAGATGCTAGGAAAAAAATGTGTTCAAACACGATGATTATATAGATTATTTTAAATAATGAAATGTTGTTTTGTTTACAAATATCATTTATTCATTATTATCCGTTTCAAAAAAAAAAAACAATAGACTCGAGTTGTTTGTTGAATAACTCGGCAATGCTGATAGCTATTGAGCTCGAATTTTCGCCATTAAAAAGAGCATGAATGAAAATACAAGCCTATCTGAGAATCAAAATACTTGAAAAGTTTTTCGGGAATTTTTTGGAAAATCATTGTCTGATTCGCTTGATTAGCTGTATTTTCAATTTAGCCATATTGTAGCTCAATGTCTACTTGAAAAACTCGAAAATTTTTAGGTGTCTTCGATCCTTTCATAGATATTTACTGGAAAATGGAATTAGGGAATTTCGACCTGAAAATTTGCGCGTAGATAGGTCTAATTGTCAGTAGAATATCCTAAAAGTTTTAGTCAAAAAGAATATTCCTTCTTTGAGGCATTGAATTTTTAATTTCACTTGAAAATATGGCTAATCACGCGAATCAAACAGTGATTTTCCAAAAAATTCCCGGTAAAACTTTTCAAACATTTTGATTCACAGCTAGACTGGTATGTTCTACCCATGCTCTTTCTAACGGTGAACACCCGAGCTCGATAGCTATCAACGTTGCCGAGTTATTCAATAAACAATTGAGTCCATTCTTTTTTGAAATGGATACTAGCTTCGTAAATCCATTTTTTTCCTATTTTCAGAGATGTGATCTTCCGATCTTGCCTATTGTAGATAAGTTTTTTTTAAAGTATTCAATCATCATTTATTATTTATAATCAGTAGCTTTAATCTGAAAAACAGTTTAATTTAAAACTTATATTTCATATAGAGCTACCTGTAGTCAATGTCAAATTTGATATTCACTTGTTATCATTCTCTCTGTCACTTTATATCTACTTACCGAAATTGCATATCTATATCCATAGATTGAAGAAAATTACCGCCAAATACAAGTGAATCTATCACTGTATAAACGGCATGAATCCATCTAAGAAATAAATTATACTTATAGTAAATAAATTCAGATCGAGAGAAACATATAAACAAACCCGGCTGGTAAGAAAATAGTATTTCCTTCACGTACATACATTTTATAACAATGTGAAACACAATCACCAAGAAATGTTTCAGATTCATTTGGTGATTTTGACCAATCAGCATATTTTTGTAAATTTTCATCAGTTGGTTCAATTAAATAAAAAATTTTTTCACCCTTTAAATAAAACAAAAATAAATATTCTTCTTTTTTTTTTAATTAGAATAAAAATAAATCTTACTCTCACAATGGAATACCAAACACTTGAACCACCAAAATCAATATGAAAATCTGTATAAGATGATTGTGGACTAATTAAACAATATTTTCCTACTTCTGGACGTTCAAAATTTTCAAAATGATGTGAATTTAAATCTTCATCTTCATCACTTTGATCTGTATCAGTTGTTGATGAAACTGTTCGACGTTTTGTTCTTGATAAAGATGATTGTGATGGCCATGTTCGTTTATTTTTTAGTTGATTTATCTCATTTGTCTCAATATTGTTTTCAAATTTTTCATCTTTTTTCTTATTTGGCCAAATACCAGTAGTAGTCCAAGATAAATCTCGAACTATTTTTGGTACAATAATAAATTCACCCAATCTTAATCAAACAAAATAGATGAAAGACTTTTTAAGATTTTTATTTACAATTTATCTATCTAATCTCATGAATGAATTATATACTTCTTTAAATAACAGATAGCCTTCTCACTTATATACAGGATTTTGGTTCAGTCAATACATAGGATATTTATAATTTGAAGAACAACTAAAAGTCTGTTTTTACGGTCGAAACTGATTAGAAGTTTAATGAAAAGTAACAAAGTTCATACAAGAAGTATAATAAAAAATTTCATGACATATTCCTTATGGAATTTAATTAAAAATCTCAGTATTCATTTCAACATTAAATAGAAAGAATTATGATGAGGACTCTTTCAACAGGATCGCGGTGTTTTGTAAATTCCCTCTCGAAGTTTTTGACATAGTGCGAAAAATTAAACCATATAATTTGGATACGTTTAATAGACCTCAAAGGACAAGGCAATGATGAGAGATTCAGAATATGTCGTCCAAGTGAAATTGTTTTCCTATTATGAAAATACAAAAAATCGACTTATCATTTTAACTTGTACAGAGTAGATCGTAAACAACAATACGATACAGAGTTCGAATATCTCTACTTTGGATTGTTTTTTTTTTCGTTCGTCATAAATACATATTTAAAGTTTCTTATTTCATATATGGATAAAACAATTAAAATAACTATGGCTCTGAAGTATCATTATTGTGTATCATTAAAGAAATGTAATCGGTTATCAAATAAAGCAAATGCATGTGAAACAGAGGTGTCTACAGAGAAGGGTAGGACAATATTTCCATGCCCTGAAAATTCCACAGACTAGCTTTTGTTTTAAAAATAAGAGCGTTTTGATTTGTCTCAAAAATGCAAAGAATGAGATAAGCAATACAGATGACATTATCAAGTGATATCTAAGACTATTATATTCATATAATGAACGTAAAATCCAATCAAAGTAATACAAAGAAAAAGAAAATCATAACAATGAATATATATTTTTCTAATTGTTGGTCATCTTCTTTTACTTCAATACGGCGGACACAAACAAAAATTATTCGATCAATATCATCATCTGCTGATTTACATCTCAATATTTCCTGTTTTTTTCCCGTTAACACATTCGCAACGGCATGAATATTGTCGTTTCATAATTTGTGAGAAGTTTCATTTCTTTGTCTATGGCAATTGTAGTACTTCAAAACGATTTTTGTCTACCTTTCTCTTATGAATATGAGCTATGAAGATTGCTTAATCAATAGCAGAAGAATCAGCCCCTTCGGTCAAAGTATGACAGAGATTGTCAATTTTTTCTGCAGTAAATGAGCTATTGATCGCCTTACAGTGTGACCCACCGGTGGGCCACATAGTTTCGAATGTGTTAACGGAACTGAGAGTTCTATTTTGTCTTCCTCAATTATTTCTACTACTGATACCACTTGATCATATACATCTAACCGATTATAACGACTTGTACATAGAGACACACAAAATTTTGTATTTTAAATAATGAATCAACAAAATGAATTTGACTCGTGATTTAAAAAACAGATATTAAAATATGCGTCTTACTCTTCAGAACGTCCTGCCCTGCCCCACATCACAGGGCAGGGCAAGACAGGAAAAAAAATTTGAAATACAATTTTTTTCAGGGCAGGGCAGGTCACGGTAGGGCGAAAAAACCTGCCCTGTAGACACATCTGATGTGAAATGATTTTTACAAGAAAGTTAATCAATCGTAACTCGAAACACTTAATTATACATTGGTATTCTTGAATACGAATTTGAACATTTAAACTAACTACGTAGTTTTCACATTTATCTATCTGACTTGATAAGAGATTACATTTCTAAAAGTAATATTCATTTACGTGCGTCATCCGCAGAGCTTTAAATAGGTCTCTATTACTTACAAGAAAAACATTTCTGTTTTTTACATACCAACAAAATTATCTTATAGGAAATGCTTTTCAAAAATTCCCGCACAGGGTTCTCTCACTTCCGCCTTCTTGACAACTTCGTGATAACTTTAGACAGAAACTTGATTTTAAAATACCAACTATTTACCTTTGTCTAGTACAAAGTAAAATAAAAATAAGCAGATAATGTTTTTCTTTTTATGAGATGAATAAGATTGAAGGAGCAATAGACAGACCGTCTATTATTGTAGGATTAGGTGAGTGATGGTGAGTTTTATTCTTCGTCCGATCACCATTTTCTACACTATTAGAATGAAAGTACTTTCTGATTCTTTCATTCCTTAAAAATATCGACAATCCTGAATAGTACATAGATTTTCTCTACTTCTGATCTTGATAATCTCATAAAAACATACTTTGTATTCGAAACTTCAAGACTTAAAACATTATAAATTTTATTTCGATCATAACTTTCAAAATATTCAATATAATCAGTAAAACTCATTTTATAAATCACTTGTTTTTCACAATCAATTGCATCAATATATTGATCCTGATCTAGAATAATAAATTATTTTAGATTAAAAAAAAAAAAAAAATTCTAAATTTTATTTATACCAATAAGTTTATTAATTTCTTCTAATGTTATCATTCGATCTGGTAATGTTAATTCAAGACCATCACGATTTGATATTAATATTGGTTTTGTAAAACCATTTTTAAATAAATATTCATTTGTTAATTGATCACCTTTTATTCGTAGAATTACTGATTCACAACTATGTATATATACATAAAAAACAAAAGATTATTATTTTAAATTAAGACATGAAATAATAAAAAAAAAAAAAACTTTTACTCTGAAAATGTTTTTTGTTTTAATTTATTTATAAAAATTTTTGTACCACTTTGTATTGGCTATAAAAAAAAAAGAAATTTATAATTGAACTTTTTTTTTTTTTCTTTTTTATTAAATTTACTTTTTGTTCAGCATTTGCATCACTATAATCTCGTCTGTGTTGATTTTGTTGTTGTTTAACTAAAAAGAAAAATTGAAAAAATTTTTTTCTTTTTCAATTTTACTTACATATTGAAGGTCCATGTTGTTTTGAACATTCCATACAAAAATATTTTTCAATATCATCTATTAAAATTTCCGAAAAATAAAATAAATAATGAAAAATATTTTTTTTTTTTTTTTTACCAGCAATTCGATCAGGTAATGCTACACATCGTCCATGAAACCAACCATTACAACCATCACATTCAATCATAAAATCATCATGATTATCTTGTTCATTTAATTCATCTTCACTTTTTTGACATATACAATAACGTCGTTCATTATTATTTATTTCAGATGAATTTTTTGTTGAAAAAAGTATTTGTTGAGACATTTTCTTATTTATAATTATGAGTTTTAATCAACTAAATATTTAATTATACGATTGATATCTAAAGACAAAAATATTTTGACATTAAGATTCGATTGAGTAAAGAACGAATAAAAATAAGATTTATTGATGAAAGATAGCAGCACATGTGACCTAAATGATAGAACTAGTTAAATTATATAGATGTCACTTAGATTAGGTCAATGAGTTCAGATTTTCATTAATATGTGTTACTGATTATAAATAACAGGGGACTCATGACAAATGATATTTTCATAGTTTATTCTCTAAAGACATTTTTTTTTCAAAAGAAACAACAACAGAGTGTACTACAAGATGCATCGTAAAAAGCTCTACAATCTATGATGTATTTTAGTACATTTAAAAAATGACCTTAACCTATATATATAAAGTCATTGCACAACATATCTAATCAATTTTTATCTACGTCATCAAAAGTAATCAGAACATCATACGCTTTCTAACTATATATTAGAAATTCTTTGTTCTGGATTAAAGTTAGTTCATTGAAAACAAATCTTTGATGGTGACAAATATTCAGAATTTTATTTTTTTTACTAACTTACGGTTAGTTAGCTGTGAGCAAATATTTAAATAAGTCGAAAATGTTGTTTGCACTAATGAGAAAACTTCTTCCGCTACCTCCTTGTGATTTCAATAATTTTTTTGTCTATAGATACTACATAATGTTCTAATTAGAATTCTAAAACGATTTGAATTCCTATTGACATTTGACTAAATTATCGAATTTTTAATATGTCTATTATCTATAGGTTATAAGTTTTTAGAAAACTCCTATTCTGAAATTTTGATATGAAACAGAAAACTCGACTAGACTAGCTTCCATAAAAAAAAGTTCACAAGATTTGAACACAGACTCTACGAGTAGAGCCCATCCGAGTCTGGATCTGAGTTCAGATATTCTTGGATCCGATGGATTCTATCTATGAGATATCAGACTTTTATGATATAGATCTTTTTTCGAAGATAGTGTACATAACATGCATTTATCTATATGTACAAATTTTTAGATTAAAATTCAAAAATATGAGTTTTCCGAAAATCTAGGGCCCTACAGGAGCTTCTGAAAAAAAGTCAAATCTCAATAGGAATCGAAATCATTTTAGGGCTTTTATTATAACACTATGAAGTATCTATAGGTAAAAAAATCATTTAAATTGCAAGAGGATCCCTCGTAATCATAATAGGCTTTCTTCTATTATTCATAACTTCTCTGAATGAGATTTTAGTCGAATTTCAGTATTTGGAATGTAATAGATTTCGATCATTTTTAGCAATATCTAAAAAAGAGAAATGAATTGAATATTTTGTAGAACAAACCTCGATCTACAATCTAATGCATAATAATACTTTCTAATAATTTGGATTGAGATACTTTTTATCAAAATATAAAACTGAACTAAACGAAACATTTTGTACAGACGTCTATCAAAGGTTTGTTCTTGATGAACTAACTTTAAACCAGAAAAAAATTCTTAATATGTAGTTAGATAGAACATAAAATTCTGGTTCTAGTTGATTACTTTTGATTCTCTCCAGTAACTTATAAGTGGATGCAAAGAAAATTTCATGTATTTTATATACAATCACAAATGGCTGCCAAAGAGTCCTGATCTCAATGTTCTGGATTATTACATGTAAGATGCTATTGTCAATAATATGCAAAGGATAAAGTTAAAAACTATGATTTATTAATTGATTAATTAAGAAAAAAAGAAAATCCATCGTATACTAATAAATGATATTGCTCGCACAGAATTATGCTTATTTTGAAAAGAAAAAGGCACACAAAATGTAAATGTGCGACTATTTATTACGGTTTATCCGTTATTGTCAATGTGTGTTTTATTGAATTGAAGCAACTGTTACGTGTTATTTCATATTGCCAATGATAACCTAGTATTATTAGTTAGCAATTCGGAAGGAAGACGCCGTTTGTGAATGTAAATTTACGATTTGATGAACTAAAAATTGACTAATAACGAGTGTGCCGAAAGTTTTAGACATAATATTTCTTCATTTTTTGGTTGGATTAAAAGGGTTAGCAGAAAATATTAAACAATTAATTAGAATCGCAATTTTTCTATTCTTTCCAAATTTATGTTTAGAGATTTTTTTTCGAAAATCATAGATCAGGATTTATATGAAAGAAGCGTCTAGAATAAATGTAATATAAATTCTAAATATATCAATAGAAAAAGCAAATATTTTTCTATAAAAAGCATACTTTGATCATGAGTTTGTTGTTGTAAGGCGTCTATCAATAATGAGAGTTTTAGAAAGCGATACAATGATTTAGTTCCAGTTCCTTGATTTTCAATGCATATGCTGACTAGAAAAAAGTTCAAAAAGTGAATGGGATTAAACGAAATCAACTTCTTTACAAAAGTAACAAGAAAAATTATTGAACAACAGTATGAAATCAATTTCCAACATGATATGATCACATCCACCGTTTCAGGATTAATTAGTGATATCGTCTTCGTCTAAACTTTAGTTTCAGGCTTTTGATTCTAGTCAAGTGTTTAATACTTGCTGCTAACCATCTTAATCGATCGAAAAATGAAGAAATATTTCGTCTACAGATTATCGATGTACCCATCAAAACCTCAAACAACTAATGGGATAATAGTTTAAATCTGCATTGTTTTCTTTGAATTAACATACTTGAATCCTAATCTGTTATGCATTAACTAACAAACCTTTTAAAGTGAAATACTACCTGATAAACATTAATTTATGATCATTGAGTACTCACTGAAAATATATGCATTGATGTGAAATTTGTTTTTTTTTGTGTTATATATTAAAGTACATACTCAAGCAGACGCTTGTTAATAAAACTATCGTCTCTGACATGAATGAAATTTGTCATGCAAGATTTATGTACTCTTTAGACTTCTATTAACTATGTCGAATGAAATAACTATAAGATTCTATCAAGTAGAAATTCTTATTTTTTCTTTCTTTGTATGTCAACATATAATTATTTCTGAATAATTGACTTAATTATATGAAAAGAAAAAGTGCAGTAATACTATACACATTTTTTAGTCTCGTTTATTGTATTTGTTTGAACTTTTCTATTTAATTATAAATATCTAATTTATAAAATTGAATTTATCATATATTTTCTAGATTTTATTTTTGTATTTTCATCGAAAAATCATTATTTCTTTTTCAATAACACTTGTTCGTTGTATAAATATTTCTACAATAAAATTTGTCTAAAAGAACAAATTTTATGGTTATTTACTACCATAAACTTATTTGTTGCTTTTTACTTTTACTGTATTTATCAATTAGATAATGGATAATTAATTTCAATTCTACAATAATTTTCTCCCCATATTTGATTATTGGATTCTTGCCTTGAAGATAACAATTTTTCAAATTAGTAGTATAAGTTTCATCATGTACTATGTTCGAAATTTTGAATTTTATACGGAAATTCATTATCTTCTTATCAAGTCATATTTGTAGATGAAAAAAGAATCCTAGTGAATGTTGTGAGTTCAGAGTACTCTATTACCTGTATGTCACAAGAATCTTTGCATACTTCAATACTTTAGAGTGTATTATGATTTTTAAAAGCACTTCACTACAAAATACTTCTAAGTACCCAGGATAATTTGTAGTCTTAAAGTATCTTGAAGGAGCATAGAAAGTGGATGAGTGTGGAAGCCGGCGAGGATACTCAGAAGATCTTCACTCACACCGACCTCCGCGATGAATTGCCCGGTTACCATGTTTCAAAATGTTCAATCTATGAACGCACTGAAAAATTTTTCATAGAATATTATAGAAACTGGATAGGCCTCCGGTAAGCACTCATGTACTGGGACAATTCTCAGTAGGGTACCCAACTAACATCCTATGACATACCGGCAACAGGATACCTGAAAAGACAGCCTAATAACAACTGATCCAATGCACGGATACTTTGAACTTAAGCTTGACTCATCAAAAAGCTGAGTATATGTGATTGTATTGATATACTAGAAAATCCTACACAGGCATTTATTCATCCACAAAATGGCCTATTATTCATATCGAAAAGAATCTTTTGCTGACTACAGTACACTGAAAAAGTATTATAGCAAATTTACTATATTCCTCATATTTGCATAAGTAATACTATGGCACTTGTTTCTTGTAATGTATTTCTTTAAATATTGAATTTCTTTAAATATTAAATTTCTTTAATAATTACATATTTTACTTTCATATCAGCAATATAGAGGACAAAACAAGAGAAGAACTCTAATAATGGCTACCATTTGACGTTTTTCTTTTTTCTTTTTTTCTTTCGTTCTCTATTGACTCTACTCACACCTACACATCATTTTACTTGTGCATAAAAAAAACATGACGTAAGATATTGCACATGAAAAGTCTATTTAGATGAAATCTCATATTTAGAAATAGATATGAATATTTCGATTTTAATAGAATTATTCTACATATATCTACTAATATAAATAATCAAAAATAAATTTTATTTAATAAATATTCTACATATAAATATTAATATATTCTTTATTTTTAATGTGTTCTAGGTAAACACAATCTACCTATATATATATTCATTCATTCCTCTCATTTCACACACACACACACACACACATTTACTTACACGAGCATATAGACAGTAAAGAGAGAACCAATGTCTCCTAAGAAAAGTAAAACCACAAAACCAGCATTAAAAAAAGCGGGAACGATGGTGACTACTGCAGCTGTAAGACAAAAAAAAATTGTTTTTTTTTTTTACTTTAAAACTATATCTCGTATTTAATATTATTATCTAGACTGGTCAAGAATATTTACAACGAACATGGGGTAAAAGTCGATTAAATGCAGTTAATGCTTTATATGCTACACGTAATGATCCAAAAACAACTTCAACAATATCACAAACTAAACCAAACTTATCAAAAACACGAACAATGCAAAATACAACA